CCAGCCTTGCGATAGTCTTGGGGAATTTTCCCCAGGGCGCTGTGTCTTATAGAGTGCTCGACTGACCGACTAAGACGAGAGTTGAAGCGTATTTTGTTGTGTGCGTCTATTTGACTGTAAAGCTTGAATGACTTTCTCGATCCCGTACCTCAAGGGGATGCGATAGAGAGACGAGACGAGATTCCCCCCTGACACGTGTGGAGAACCCTAGAGGAGAAGAATTTCCCCCTCATATATGCATGCGTGTAAATGTACTTTGTTCCTATATTTTTATTGTTGTATATCCATTGTATTTTGATGAAATCCCTGTTGAATTAACTGCAATAATCATTTTGACCACAAACATAAGTTATACAATATATGATGCTATTACGAAATGAACAAATAACAAATCACCAGTCGGCCATTTTTAATCGAATTGCTAAACCATTGCATGTGCATATGTCCCACATAAAGTACTAGACACATACAAAGAATGGACGGAATCGGTCCAAAGGAATCTGAAATATAACTCTGGATGGTTGCACAGACAGACAAACGAATGGACGGGAGGAGAACATGTATCCTAACATGTATAATCTATGTACCAAATTTGAATGAAAACTGACAAAGCATGTCCAATATTTTCACTATCGGCCATGTAAAGAGCTTTATTGTATAAACCCCAATAGAAATGTATCTCTGCTTTTTGTAGACGATATTGTAATATTATCAGATTCAGAGACAGGACTCCAAAATAGTATTAACAAATTAAACAGTTATTGTGAAAAATGGAAATTACAGGTAAATATCAATAAAACCATAGTCCTTCTATAGAGGGACTGTGATAAAACTAAAATCATAATATTTAATAAAAAGGGTAGAATCATGGGTCATAATTTTAAGTTTTATTTAGGTAATAGGCAAATACAGATAGTTTCCACTTATACATACCTAGGAATTATCTTCATAGCAGTGGAAACTTTAAACTAGCAAGCACAGCGAGCCCTAGGTGCACTAAAACAGACACTAAACTTGCACAATTATACCATTTCACCAAAGAATGCCATACAACTATTCAGAAGTACAGTTCTGCCAATCATATTGTATGGATCAGAAGTATGGGCAGCTTTTAACTTTAAATTATTTAAATCAAAAAATTGTAACATTATTGCAAATGATTCATTCATTCAAAAATTATACAATGACAAATTACAATTTGAACAACTGCACATCAAATTTTGCAAGCAAACACTCGGTGTACATAAAAGGTCCAGTAACATTGCTTCTAGAGCAGAGCTTGGAAGCTACCCAATCATCACTGATATATGTGCACAAATGCTAAAATACCAAAGGAGAATATTAAATTCAGAATGCAGCCCTTTGGTTCAA